CTGTTTCTAATTACTTTCTTAATCTGTGATAGACTCTGTGGCATGTAAATGTCTACATTTCTTCTCTTAGTTGCAAGTTTTGCAGCTTCGTCTGCAATGTCATTTCCTAATATTCCCACATGACTTGGCACCCAGTTGATAAGTTCCCATCGGCCTTGTCGTTTGAGTGTTTGCATTAATGATATAACGTTTGTGATCAGATGGATATTATCACATGTGTTCTTGTTGCAAGGCTTCAGTGGCAGTTCTCGAATCTGTATGTATGATAACATGTTGTCGGTGTCGAGCAAGAGCATGTTCCAAATCCTGTTGAATGGCTAGCATCTCTGTTTGTAAAGTCAAACACCCATTTGAGAGTCTCCAACTATTTACAGTGTTTCCTGCTTTAACTGCAGCTCCGGTTTCTTGTCCCTGCTGGTCTACTGATCCATCTGTGAAGTAAGTGAAGCTGTCGGATGCCATGTTTGCTTCTATATGCATCTGTGCAATGCTACGTAGCAGATGAGGATTTGTCTGGTTCTTTTTTCCTTCAAGAACCATAATCTTAAAGTCTGCCGGTGGAGATTCCTAAGGGGCTTGCATAACAAAGTCTGCATGTATTTCGTCGACACCCCTTTCAGTGATTGTGTTTGTTATATCGAATGTATTGATGGTGTTTATCGCACAATGGGTCCACCTGTTGCTATTGGAGGCTCTTCTGTCCAGAGTTAGTGCTCCAGTGATTATATATTTAAGTGAACTGATTCTAGGTCTAGTCAATATCTTGGTCAGCATGCATGCAGCAATCCCTTTTACCCTCATTTCAATCGACGTTAGCTTGGTTTCTAGTCTTAGGTTCAGTATTTTAGTCCACCTGGGAGCTCCTGTTATGACTCGCATTGCATCGTTTTGAATAACCTCAACGTTTGCCCACTGACCAGGAGAAAGAGTGAGTAAGGGCAGGCGCTGCATAATCAACTAGGGAACGAACGGCGTGTATGTAAAACATTCTTAACACTTTGTGTCCCGCTCCTATACGGGGCCCTGTGATTGCTCTCATTATATTTAGTCGTGATTTTGCTTTATCCTTCAGATATTGAATTTGCTTGTTGAATGTAATTTTAGAATCTATTCACACCGAGATATTGATATTGTGTAACCCACTGAAGGTTAATGTCTTGAATGCGTAAGTGCCTGTCTGGAGTGTTGCCGCCTAGTCTCATTGCCTTAGACTTTTGTGCAGATATTTTTAGCCCTAAAACGCTGCATTCAGATATTACGTTAACTAACGCCCCTTGTGCTTTATTTAGAAGTGAAGGAACTGTAATGACTAATACTATATCATCAGCATAGCTTAGCAATTTAACCTCTTCTGTAAATGTCATGGTAACGAGGTTTTCCATAAGGATGTTAAAAAGACTAGGACTGAGGACTCCTCCTTGTGGAGTCCCATTCTCGTGCAAGTGGTAGTCCGACACTTGTCCTTGTAACTTCACTCTGGCATACCTGTGACGTAGGTAATCTTGAATCCATGCTAGCATAGTTCCCTTTACACCTTTATTAACCAAGGTGTGTAAAATTGCTTGCAGGGTTGCAAGTTCGAATACTTTTTCTAGATCAAGGATGATCACTATAGCTGGACCCGAGTTAACTGTTCCTAGTAATATTGCTATGCAGTTGGCAGTACCTACTCCTCTTGTGAAGCCAAATATGTGTTTATGAAGGTCTCCAGTCTTCCACAGTAGCCTATTTAAGACCATTCGTTCTGCAGTTTTACTAATGCATGATGTTAATGAAATGGGTCTGTAATTGCCAGGTTCTTTCGGCTTAGGAATTGGAATGTCTACTTTCTTCCAAGAGGTCGGCAGTTTGCCTTGCTGCCAAGGTGCATTGATAACCTCCAATATTCCTTGTTCTCCAGCAGAACCTGCATGTGCGATCATTGAGTGTGTAATGTTATCAGCACCTTGTGCACTGTCCTTACCACTTTTTTTGGCTCTGATTAGTTGTTGTTTGGTGAAGGGACAGTCACATTCGTCATTTGTAGATATGCTCTCATGAATGACTGTCAACCTCTCTTGTTTTAATTGTTCTTGCTGCCTTCTGACCATTGCAGGAAGCTGATATGAAGATGTTCTTTCTACAAATTGGAGAGCAAGTCTCTCAGCCTCCTGCAATGGTTGAATACATGCCTGTGGTCGGGCTGGTCGACCTGATATGGTTTTAATCTGACCCCATATCTTGCTAAGACTACTATGTTCATTTAGTCTTTGACATCACTCAAACCATCTTGCCTCCTTTAGTTCTCTAGATACTCGTCTTGCTTCAGATATCACAGCTCTTAGCAGAGTTCTTCCTTCTGGTGTAGGGTTTCTCTTTAGATGTTTTCTGAAGATGTTGACTCTGTGGTTCTGTTCTTTAACTTCATTACTATAGAACCAATAGTTCTTTCGTTTTGTGTTTTCCGTGATAATGATTGGAATAGCTTTGTTTGCAGCAGCTGCAATGGCTTCCTGCAGATTGGTCTCGTGTATGTTCAAATCCTCAGGTGGCGTATATGTTGCATACCATTTTTCAAGTTCTTCTTGGTATATATTCCAATTGGCCTTTCTTAAATTCCACCTAGGTTGTGCAGGTGGTGTAGGAGGTCGTTCTATGTTTAGTGTTGTGACACTACCATAGTGGTCACTAGTGATCACCGGGTCTACTTCCCACTTTGCCTGATGCTTGAGTGCTGTTGAGATTAATGTAAGATCAAGGGAACCTCCTAGAATGTGAGTGGGTTCCCCAGTGTTGAGAAGTGTAATTTCATGTACTTCTCGCAGAGCTGCAGCTAAATGGCGCCCATCTGCATTGGCTGGTTATGGGTTCTGTTACAGCCCTCTGGGAAGGGTTCAAGATTACGACTAGTATTGTAGAGCAGAGCGTGTACTCACCTAGTTGTGCTTGCGGGGGTTGAGCTTTGGCTCTTTGGTCCCGCCTCTCAACTGTCAATCAACTGGTGTACAGATTCCTGAGCCTATTGGGCTCTAATAGACAAGTCTAATAGACAAGTCACTGTGTGTGTGTGCAGTGACTTGATACTTAAATTATTCAAGGATTCCAGTAAGAGTGTTGAATGTTGTCTGGGACTGGAGTTTGCGTTGTTCTCATTGCTGAGTTATGTTGAGTAATTATGGGTCGGAGGTAATTCTGGATTGTAGATCCCTAGGCACAGATACTGAGGGGTGAGATGTGGTAAATAATTCATTGTGTCGGGGAACAAGCGGCAGCCAGTTTGCACATACAGTACATGTTAGGCTTATATCAAGGTCTCCCCCCACCCTTCAAGGGTCAAACTACTGACCCTCCCCAGGATGCAACCCCACAACGAGCTGACTATTGCCTCATGCCCGAAACGCTTTGCGTAATAGTGGCTTTAGGCATTGTATGTACTAGCTCTACCTATAAGTCAAACAATCCTTGTAAATATTTATTGTATGTATGTACCTTACCTAAATAAAATTGTATTGTATTGTATTGTATTGTATTGACTAACTCCTGGGTACCCATTTGCTGCTGGGTGAACAGTTGTATTAGGTGATAGGAAACAAGCACAACGATTTCTGTCCCGTCTGGGATTCGAACCCTGAATTCTCGATTGGGAATCGAGAGCGAACCAGACTGTTTACTACCGGGGAATAACAAAGTGTTACCAGGGCAGAGCGAGTGTAGGATTGAATTTCAGAGAGCATTTAAACTGCTTTAGAAACTCCTATTTTTTACATGACACTTGTGCTACATAGCCTCCCCGGCTTGGTGCCTTCTTTTGATAATTACATTATATGACAATTAAAATTTAGTTTGTTATCAATGTGAACATAAATAATTTCCCCTCATATATATATATATATATATATATATATATATATATATATATATATATATATATATATATATATATATATATATATATATATATATATATATATATATATTTTCAATCTCGGTATAGTTATCTTAGTTCAATTTGATTTGTCGACGCTTTCATACAATATGAAATACGGGTTTTCAATGTTAAGAGAGTTAGTGGGGAGGTAGACATGGATTTTGTTTATGCTTGCGGGGGTTGAGCTCTGGCTCTTTGATCCTGCCTCTCAACTGTAAATCAACTGAAGTACAGATTCCTGGGCCTACTGGGCTCTATCATATCTACATTTGAAACTGTGTATGGAGTCAGCCTCCACCACATCACTGCCTAATGCATTTGAGTTTCTCCTTGATATATATCACATCAGTGTGATATCTGTGTGTGATCCCACTAGTGATATTAGTTCCCTTACTGCTATTGTATCTTTACCGACATTACTGGAATAGTTCCGCGATTGATAGAGATTTATTCCTTATATAATCAAACTTCTCGTGAAGCCACAATCAAGATAACTTGTTTTAAAAGTGGAAAATGTCTTTTCTTTAAGATTAGCTAAAATTTAGCTCTTGTTTAATTACCGTCCCGCTGTGTGAGAGAACAGCGTGAGTCTCTGTGAGAGAACAGTGTGAGACTGTGTGAGAGAACAGCGTGAGTCTTTGTGAGAGAACAGTGTGAGTCTTTGTGAGAGAACAGTGTGAGACTTTGTGAGAGAACAGCGTGAGTCTTTGTGAGAGAACAGCGTGAGTCTTTGTGAGAGAACAGTGTGAGTCTTTGTGAGAGAACAGCGTGAGACTTTGTGAGAGAACAGCGTGAGTCTCTGTGAGAGAACAGCGTGAGACTTTGTGAGAGAACAGCGTGAGACTTTGTGAGAGAACAGCGTGAGTCTTTGTGAGAGAACAGTGTGAGACTTTGTGAGAGAACAGCGTGAGTCTCTGTGAGAGAACAGTGTGAGACTTTGTGAGAGAACAGCGTGAGTCTCTGTGAGAGAACAGCGTGAGTCTCTGTGAGACTGTGTGAGACTGTGTGAGACAAGGGGACCTTTGTGGTCCGCGGTTTGTTATAAACATTTGTGAGAAGGATATATTTAAAGGCTGTCAGTTAAAAACTCATGTACTCATTATATCTTTATTGGATATATCATGTAGGAGCTACATACATTCAGGAACAAAAAACATATTCAACAGGAGACAGTGAGACAGACTGACGGATATACAGAGACGCAGACAGACAGACTGACTGATAAGGACAGATACAACTTTATGTAAGTGACAGATTGGACTAAATAGATGCAGTATATTAGAATAGATTTTGAAAAGTAAGCAAAGAGTTCTAAGCTTATCACCTTGCTAAGGGCTCAAAATGCAACTTAGCTTATCACCTTGCTAAGGGCTCAAAATGCAACTTAGCTTATCACCTTGCTAAGGGCTCAAGATGCAACTTAGCTTATCACCTTGCTAGGGCTCAAGATGCAACTTAGCTTATCACCTTGCTAAGGGCTCAAGAAGCAACTTAGCTTATCACCTTGCTGGGGCTCAAGATGCAACTTAGCTTATCACCTTGCTAGGGCTCAAGATACAACTTAGCTTATCACCTGGCTAGGGCTCAAGATGCAACTTAGCTTATCACCTTGCTAGGGCTCAAGATGCAACTTAGCTTATCACCTTGCTAGTGCTCAAAATGCAACTAAGCTTCCTGTTCCTTCAAGATGGACATCTAGAAATGCATAGGCACTACACATCAAGAAGTCAACACCAGCAATCAACAGCCAATTAATGCACAACTATATTCTACCCACTTCAAGACTCCGCTCCAATATAGAACCATCAAGAAATATGGGCCAATAAAAATAGGCCTTCTGCAGTTACCTACCTTTAATACCTGTTTGTATTTCATTGTTTCGTGTTGTGTCTTGTGTTAAAAGTTTATTTTCACCTCATCCAAAACTATTGTAACATGTCACTTCACCCAAATGTAGGTATAAAAACTCGAAAGATGTTTAAGCTCTATTCAGTTAAAGTTGTGTGTGTGTGTGTAAACTGAAGTCTTTGAAAATGTAATAAGTTTTACGAAACGCGCTCAAGTGTCGCGTCAGACTAGAAATAAAAATGAATTTTGGAGAATTGATCTTTGAATTACCATCAACAGTGAAAAGAAACGTAAGAAAGATCGAGAAAATTCGTGTTAGAATTATTAATCTTACTTTTTCGGTCATATTTAATAATATATGTCTACAGGAAAGACTGCTACCAATATATATATATATATATATATATATATATATATATATATATATATATATATATATATATATATATATATATATATATATATATATATATATTTATTTTTATATATATATATATATATATATATATATATATATATATATATATATATATATATATATATATATATATATATATATGTATATAGTGTGTGTGTGTGTGTAAATCACGAAAATAAACACGTGATTAAAAATGTGACAGTGTCAGACCGCAGAGGAAAATTGAAACAGGAATTTCCTTAAGTACTTTCGTATATTAATACATCTTCAGAAGGAGTGATTTTACAGGTCAAGTATTGGACATAAATAGGCAAGAGAGAATGATGGAGTGAGGTGAGGTACAATAACAAATGAATGGGAATTAGGTGGACACAAATGAGCCGCACAAGAAATGCTGAAGGCCTATTGGCCCATACGATGCAGCTCCTATCCATACCCACCAACAGGCCCACGCATGGATAATAATAGCATAAGATAGTAAATATTTACAATGAATTAGACAAATGTGTTCCAATGATCCTACTTAAATCGCCCTTTAATTGATCTATCAAAAATCGATCTAAGTTATATAAACCACTGCTAATGTTCATATTACTTTCTTTTGTAATCTGTATCAAAGCAGATTCAATTATGTTTCTGTTATAGGTGCTTTTACAATTCGTTATTGAAGAAGTCATCTCCCAATCAATTTGGTGAGCATCTTCTGACAGATGAACAAACAAAGCATTAGACAATTGGTCATGTCTTACAGAGTATTTATGTTGCGAAAGTACTTCAGGAAATTCCTGTTTCAATTTTCCTCCGTGGTCTGACACTGTTATATATATATATATATATATATATATATATATATATATATATATATATATATATATATATATATATATATATATATATATATATATATAAGCTGTCCAATATAACAACAGTCTTCAACAATTTGAGTAAAAGTGGCCTTATACAAGTAAGACCACATCGAAAATGGTGGAACCAGCCTAGAACCCCAGCTTCTCAAGTCCCAGGGGTTTGCTAGCAGGTTGGTTCCAGATCTGGGGAAACTGGGATAATAAGCTAGCCAAACATAATTTAAATTCAGCATTAGATAAAGGAGCCAGGGGAGACATGATCACAACATACAAGATACTCATAAGTGTTGAACAAGTAGACAGGAACAGACTATGTTTGACGAGAGGGAGCCCAACGAGGGTTCATTGATGCAAATACAATAATTACAGGATGTGAGAGACGTCAACAGGTGGAGTATATTAGGAAGGGAGGTAGTGGTGGCTGGCAGCATATCTGGATTCATATGTGGATAAAATAATGCCCAAATTACTCTGGATTCCTCACACCAGGCGACCGATGGTTAAAAGACGGAGCCCAGGAGCTAAAAACGTAAAACCCTTTAAGCACAACTAGGTGAAATATAATCTCACTCACACGACCCCCCCCCCACACACACACAAACCATGTCCTCTCAATATCAAATGTTCTTGCTTGAACTGTGAAGTAGACAGGTACGAGTCTTGAAGCTGAAGATTGTTCACAATTGTTCCTCAGAATCACCATCACACATTTCTTTACTCACATTACGAGGAGTAATTTCTACCCCCAATGAATGTTCTGTTTTTTTAATTCGATGAAAACGCCAAATTATAACTCTGGAAGTAACGACTGGAACTGTCTTTTCCAGCCAGGATCATGAGCCACGCAGTACAGTGACGATACTAAAATTATATCACACGGAAAATTGTGGAATCCTATATGAAATAGCTACCTGCTATATATCTTTTCGAGAACAAGTGATGTCTCCACTTGCTAGGACACATCCTAGTGAAGTCTCCAGCTGCTAGGACACATCCTAGTGAAGTCTCCAGCTGCTAGGACACATCCTAGTGAGATCTCCAGTGAGTTTAGTCAACAACTAATCGATGGAATACAGAAGTCTGCAAGAAGACCTCGAGAAGTCTGACGTGGTCATCATAGAGCTCACTAGAACCTAAGAGAACTTAAGGCAGACATTTGGTTCACAAGAACTAACTTAATTAAACATCTTGAACCGTCTTGCTCACAAAATCACGAATGAACTTGGCGTCGAGCAACAACGGCATCATTGCTCACAAGAACTTGAGGGATTTAGTGCTGTCGTGGGTGACCAACATGCTCTTGAAGGTCCACACGACCATGGAGACGAAGAAGCAGACCAGGAGGAAGGTGTCGATGGTGGGGAAGCCTGTGATGGGCGTCGTGCGGGCGTACATGATGTAGAGGGCACAGCGGACGACCTCTACCACCCCCGCAAACATCCAGTAGTCGTACATGGAGGAGATGTTGCAGATGGAGACCAGGATGAATCCGAACATCATAAACGCCGTTCCAAGCGTGTATGACTGGAAACAAATGGCAAGAGGTCAGTCTCGTGTGACGCATTCGAGTCCAATGGGATTTAGGTTTATACATAATGATGTGAGGCAGAAAGATATACATATGTATAGTTAAGCATTCAAGGCTAAATAGGTACAAGGCTAGTAGGCTAGCCTCTCTCCCCCGAAGTCACTAATAGGCAAGTACTGAGAAACCATAAGCTAGCACACAAACAAATGACAAACTATCCACACAAAATTTCCTACTGTCCAAGTGGATGCGCAACATTCCTATCCTCCGCTCTATCCTAAATCCTTATCCTTTCCAAGTGCTATGTAGTCCTAATGGCTTAATGCTGTCTCCTGATCATCACCTTACCTTAACTAGCCACAGCAAGAAACGAGAAACTAGCCAAGCAAGCGGCCAACTAGCCATACACATACGAGGACAGCACACACACGAACACGAACTCACCTTGAGGTTAAAGGTCAGGACCTGCTGGAGGAGGAGGGTGATGAGGTAGTGGATGAAGATGTAGCCCTTGTTCCAGACGGGGAGGTAGGGGTCGTACTTGGCTCTGGGGGCCTTGACGTCGGTGAAGGTGTCGGGGTCCCCGAGGCGTGGGGACCCGGGGGACCAGCCGGGCCCGTACATGAGGGACCGTAAGGTGTTGCCCCACGTCTCCTGGTTCCTCGCCTTCTTGATCACATTACGAATGTAGAAGAACTGTGAAGATAGACGCGTCTTAGTGGGTAATGTCGAACTAAACGGAACAATAATAATAATAAAAATGTTAACAAAAGCTTCGTTCAAAAGCATAGGAAATTAAAAAGCTGCCAAGACTATGCAGGAAATATGAGTAAAGGCTTTTGTTTTGCGAAGAGACGTGTTTGCACTCAGCGATCTGCGCTTATATGTACTATCACTCTCCAGTGATGTGACGATACAGGGGAATTATTCCTGTCTAAAATACACTAGTACTTATCTTTTCTAGATAACGTCACTTTCATACCATGAGGAGAAGACCGCTAGTGTCCTAGGATACATATCTTGGTTTACACCACATCCTCCTCCCCCCCCTCCTCCATCCCCTCGGTCCCATCCCAGGTCCTTATCCTGATCCCTTCCAAGTGATATATAGTCGTAATGGCTTGGCGCTTTCTACTCATAGTTCCTTCCTGCCTCGCCCGGTCCCTGGCAGCGGAGTAGTAGTAGTTTGCTGCCAGACTCTTGATGCAAGTTGTCGTACGGTAAGTGTCGTATGGTAGGTGTTGTATGGTAAGTGTCGAACGGTAAGTGTCGTACGGTAAGTGTCATATGGTAGGTATCGTACGGTAAGTGTCGTATGGCAAGTTGTCGTACAGTAAGTGTTGTACGGTAAGTTGTCGTACAGTAAGTGTCGTACAGTAAGTGTCGTACGGTAAGTGTCGTACAGTAAGTGTTGTACGGTAAGTGTCGTACGGTAAGTGTCGTACGGTAAGTTGTCGTACAGTAAGTGTCGTACAGTAAGTGTTGTACGGTAAGTGTCGTACGGTAATTGTTGTACGGTAAGTGTCGTACAGTAAGTGTCGTACGGTAAGTGTCGTATGGTAGGTGTCGTATGGTAAGTGTTGTACGGTAAGTGTCGTACGGTAATTGTTGTACGGTAAGTGTCGTACAGTAAGTGTCGTACGGTAAGTGTCGTATGGTAGGTGTCGTATGGTAAGTGTTGTACGGTAAGTGTCGTACAGTAAGTGTTGTACGGTAAGTGTCGTATGGTAGGTGTCGTACGGTAAGTGTTGTACGGTAAGTGTCGTACAGTAAGTGTTGTACGGTAAGTGTCGTATGGTAGGTGTCGTACGGTAATTGTTGTACGGTAAGTGTCGTACAGTAAGTGTCGTACGGTAAGTGTCGTATGGTAGGTGTCGTACGGTAAGTGTCGTATGGTAGGTGTCGTATGGTAAGTGTCGTACGGTACAGTGGACACTTACACAGTGACTGATCACTTAAGCTGCAGGTATGTGTACATGTACTTCTCTGCGGCAACCTGCAAGGTTGACCTCCACAGAGACTGCAAATATTAACCTCCAAAAGGTAAATGCGAAGGCTTGCAGGATTAATTGTTACCGTGCTGACTCAAAGTGCAGAACACATCATGGGTGAGGTGTGGATAGGTGTTCCCGGTCCAGGATGAACAAACAGTCGAGTGTAGCAGCAGACATCCAAGTTCAGTATGACCCAAAGGTCAGGCCCGGGACCAGATTCACGAAGCAGTTACGCAAGTACTTACAAACGTGTACATCTTCCTTAATCTCTCACGGCTTTGGTTACATTTATTAAACAGTTTACAAGCATGAAAACTTAGCAATCAACTGTTGTTATTGTTATGAACAGCCTCCTGGTGCTTCGGCGCTCATTAACTGTTTAATAATTGTAAACAAAGCCGCCAAAGATTGAGAAAAGATGAACAGGTTCGTAAGTGCTTGCGTAACTGCTTCGTGAATCCGGTCCCAGGTCTGTCCAGCTCACTATCACCCCCAATCATACACTATTTATTTGCTAATTAAATTATATTTCTTCAGTTACAGCCCCGCTCCTGTGTCAGGTAAGTCCACTACGGGCTCACCATAGCCCGTGCTACTTGCAACTTTTTGTTCCCAGTAGCTGAATCTTAAACAACAACATTATAACTGGGTCAGAGAGAACATTACCTGGGTCAGAGAGAACATTACCTGGGTCAGAGAGAACACTACCTGGGTCAGAGAGAACACTACCTGGGTCAGAGAGAACACTACCTGGGTCAGAGAGAACACTACCTGGGTCAGAGAGAACACTACCTGGGTCAGAGAGAACACTACCTGGGTCAGAGAGAACATTACCTGGGACAGAGAGAACATTACCTGGGACAGAGAGAACATTACTTGGGACAGAGAGAACATTACTTGGGACAGAGAGAACATTACTTGGGTCAGAGAGAACACTACCTGGGACAGAGAGAACATTACCTGGGGCAGAGAGAACATTACTTGGGTCAGAGAGAGCATTACTTGGGTCAGAGAGAACATTACTTGGGTCAGAGAGAACACTACCTGGGACAGAGAGAAAATTACCTGGGACAGAGAGAACATTACCTGGGTCAGAGAGAACATTACCTAGGACAGAGAGAACATTACCTGGGTCAGAGAGAACATTACCTGAGACAGAGAGAACATTACTTGGGTCAGAGAGAACATTACCTGGGACAGAGAGAACATTACCTGGGACAGAGAGAACATTACCTGGGACAGAGAGAACATTTCCTGGGTCAGAGAGAACATTACCTGGGGCAGAGAGAACACTACCTGGGTCAGAGAGAACATTACCTGGGACAGAGAGAACATTTCCTGGGTCAGAGAGAACATTAGCTGGGACAGAGAGAACATCACTTGGGTCAGAAAGAACACTACCTGGGACAGAGAGAACATTTCCTGGGTCAGAGAGAACATTACCTGGGGCAGAGAGAACACTACCTGGGTCAGAGAGAACATTACCTGGGTCAGAGAGAACATTACCTAGGGCAGAGAGAACATTACCTGGGTCAGAGAGAACATTACCTGGGACAGAGAGAACATTACCTGGGTCAGAGAGAACATTACCTGGGTCAGAGAGAACATTACCTAGGGCAGAGAGAACATTACCTGCGTCAGAGAGAACATTACCTGGGACAGAGAGAACATTACTTGGGTCAGAGAGAACACTACCTGGGTCAGAGAGAACATTTCCTGGGACAGAGAGAACATTACCTGGGACAGAGAGAACATTACCTGGGTCAGAGAGAACATTACATGGGGCAGAGAGAACATTACCTGGGTCAGAGAGAACATTACTTGGGTCAGAGAGAACACTACCTGGGTCAGAGAGAACATTACTAGGGTCAGAGAGAACACTACCTGGGATAGAGAGAACATTACCTGGGACAGAGAGAACATTACCTGGGTCAGAGAGAACATTACCTGGGTCAGAGAGAACATTACCTGGGTCAGAGAGAACATTACCTGAGACAGAGAGAACATTACTTGGGTCAGAGAGAACATTACCTAGGACAGAGAGAACATTACCTGGGTCAGAGAGAACATTACCTGGGGCAGAGAGAACACTACCTAGGGCAGAGAGAACATTACCTGGGGCAGAGCGAACATTACCTGGGGCAGAGAGAACATTACCTGGGTCAGAGAGAACACTACCTAGGGCAGAGAGAACATTACCTGGGGCAGAGAGAACACTACCTAGGGCAGAGAGAACATTACCTGGGGCAGAGAGAACATTACCTGGGGCAGAAAGAACATTACCTGGGACAGAGAGAACATTACCTGGGACAGAGAGAACATTACCTGGGGCAGAGAGAACATTACCTGGGGGCAGAGAGAACATTACCTGAGTCAGAGAGAACATTACTTGGGTCAGAGAGAACACTACCTGGGTCAGAGAGAACATTACTTGGGTCAGAGAGAACACTACCTGGGATAGAGAGAACATTACCTGGGACAGAGAGAACATTACCTGGGTCAGAGAGAACATTACCTGAGACAGAGAGAACATTACTTGGGTCAGAGAGAACATTACCTAGGACAGAGAGAACATTACCTGGGTCAGAGAGAACATTACCTGTGACAGAGAGAACATTACTTGGGTCAGAGAGAACATTACCTAGGACAGAGAGAACATTACCTGGGACAGAGAGAACATTACCTGGGTCAGAAAGAATATTACCTGGGACAGAGAGAACATTACCTGGGTCAGAGAGAACATTACCTGGGTCAGAGAGAACATTACCTAGGGCAGAGAGAACATTACCTGGGTCAGAGAGAACATTACCTGGGACAGAGAGAACATTACTTGGGTCAGAGAGAACACTACCTGGGTCAGAGAGAACATTACCTGGGACAGAGAGAACATTACCTGGGTCAGAGAGAACATTACCTGGGTCAGAGAGAACATTACCTGGGGCAGAGAGAACATTACCTGGGTCAGAGAGAACATTACTTGGGTCAGAGAGAACACTACCTGGGTCAGAGAGAACATTACTAGGGTCAGAGAGAACACTACCTGGGATAGAGAGAACATTACCTGGGTCAGAGACAACATTACTTGGGTCAGAGAGAACATTACCTAGGACAGAGAGAACATTACCTGGGTCAGAGAGAACATTACCTGGGGCAGAGAGAACACTACCTAGGGCAGAGAGAACATTACCTGGGGCAGAGCGAACATTACCTGGGGCAGAGAGAACATTACCTGGGTCAGAGAGAACACTACCTAGGGCAGAGAGAACATTACCTGGGGCAGAGAGAACACTACCTGGGGCAGAGAGAACATTACCTGGGGCAGAGAGAACATTACCTGGGGCAGAAAGAACATTACCTGGGACAGAGAGAACATTACCTGGGACAGAGAGAACATTACCTGGGACAGAGAGAACATTACCTGGGGCAGAGAGAACATTACCTGGGGGCAGAGAGAACATTACCTGAGTCAGAGAGAACATTACTTGGGTCAGAGAGAACACTACCTGGGTCAGAGAGAACATTACTTGGGTCAGAGAGAACACTACCTGGGATAGAGAGAACATTACCTGGGACAGAGAGAACATTACCTGGGTCAGAGAGAACATTACCTGAGACAGAGAGAACATTACTTGGGTCAGAGAGAACATTACCTAGGACAGAGAGAACATTACCTGGGTCAGAGAGAACATTACCTGAGACAGAGAGAACATTACTTGGGTCAGAGAGAACATTACCTAGGACAGAGAGAACATTACCTGGGACAGAGAGAACATTACCTGGGACAGAGAGAACATTACCTGGGACAGAGAGAACATTACCTGGGGGCAGAGAGAACATTACCTGGGGCAGAGAGAACATTATCTAGGGCAGAGAGAACATTCCCAGGGACAGAGAGAACACTACCTGGGGGCAGAGAGAACACTACCTGGGTCAGAGAGAACATTACCTGGGGCAGAAAGAACATTACCTGGGGCAGAGAGAACATTACCTGGGGGCAGAGAGAACATTACCTGGAGATACGGAACAATTGAACACATCGACAAAATTATAGAGCCATTAAAAGGGAAAAAAAGTGCTATGTTGTATTCATAGTTTTTTGCAAAAAAAAATGATATATGGAATAATATCCCGTATAATTAATACTATGGGAATATCAGGTGTAAGAGGGGAAACGGATTTTCAATATAGTAATGAAGATATTACAGAGAACAGATTACATCAGTCAGAGTTCCGGTGCTGTGTTCCAGCACGCTCGGTCCACACATCCTGTGTCATGGCAGGCGAGGCTGTAGTGCTGGGGTACTGGCCCAGGGAACCTTTACTACCAACAATTAATCAGTAAAGCACTCAGACTACTGGGACCGATTCATAACACTCAAACTTTTTACTCCTTGGAACGAAGACGAGAGAAATATCTTGTACTACACACACACACACACACACACACACACACACACACATACACACACACACACACATACACACCCTCACACACACACACACACACATACACACCCTCACACACACACACACACACACACACACACACACACACACACACACACACACACACACACACACACACACACACACACACACACACACACACACGGCCGGTGGCCGAGCGGACAGCACGCTAGACACGTGATACTGTGGTCCCGGGTTCGATCCCGGGCGCCGGCGAGAAACATAGGGCAGAGTTTCTTTCACCCTATGCCCCTGTTACCTAGCAGTAAATAGGTACCTGGTAGTTAGTCAGCTGTCACGGGCTGCTTTCTAGGGTGTGTGTGGGGGGGGGGGGGAATAGTAGTAGTTAGAAACAGTTGATTGACAGTTGAGAGGTGGGCCGAAAGAGCAGTGCTCAACCCCCGCAAGCACAACTAGGTGAATACAAAATTAATTAGTAGTTAGTTACAGTTGATTTATTGATAGTTGAGAGACGGGCCGAAAAAGCAGAGCTCAACCCCCCCGCAAGCACAACTAGGTGAATACACACATGGACAATTCTGAAATTTCCACATACCTGACTGAGCTGTGATTGGAAGTGTGAAATAAAGCCAGCAAAATGTCAGGGTGCAATAATGATAATGAGAAAACACAATGTCAACATAGCAGGTTAATTAATGGTTTTTCAAATTCCTGCCCAACACACATAAAAATATCGCTGGAACAACAGTGGAAGAATTCAAGAGGGAACCTAAGAAAATTCTGCTGGAGATACTGGATCAGCCTGGCTGTGATGGCGTTGTGGGGCTCCGGGCTACCAACACAAACAGCCAGACAGACCAGACAATCACCAGAGAAGGCTGGCCTCAAGCTTGGCTGTAGGAGTGGAAAACCTCAGGAAATTATCAAGAGATAGAGATAAGGGTACAGGCGGATGATGGTAGACGTTCAAGTATCTGAGAGATAACATTACCTGTAGATACAAGATACCGGAGGCCTGAGGCTGGTCGACGAGGCCGTACACGATCTCCTCGTCGTCTTTCTCTGCCGCGAAGGTCCCGAAGAGACGGTCCCAGATGATCAGGAAGCCGCCGTAGTTCTTGTCAAGACAGTACTTGTTGGCACCTGTCAGGGAGAGACCTTCAGCTACCTTCTCTTCTGTGTGCAGGCGATGGGTCACAATAACGTGACTGAAGTAGTTTGACCAGACCACACACTAGAAGGTGAAGGGACGACGACGTTTCGGCCCGTCCTGGACCATTCTGAAGTCGATTGTGAGAATGTGAGAATTCTCAAGTTGACTGTGAGACAATCGACTTGAGAATGGTCCAGGACGGACCGAAACGTCGTCGTCCCTTCACCTTCTAGTGTGTGGTCTGGTCAAACTTCTCTTCCGTTGTTGTGACAACTGCTGTGCTACTGTTTCCTCTCCTACTGCTACAACTACTTTCCCACCATTTATACTACCATTTATACTACTACAACTGCTACTTCCGCCTCCAGATATGAATTAACACCAGTAACAGGTAACTTCATGCTCAGTTGCATCTAACGCAGCCTTGTACTTCTAGCATATTCTACCAATTACAAACCGCTCAAATTATATAGGCCTGGGCGATGACCGGGCCGCGGGGAGGCTAAGCCCCGAAACCAACACAAGGTATTCACAAGGTATAGGACTTCTGGGTCAGTATGTAAATATTACTCACTATTTTGAATACAACAGGAATAAGTAACATTTCTTTCAATGATAGATTTAGAAAGATCAATCTTTTTGAGGATTCTTCCAGTCATTTGGATTGTTAAAGTCTTGCCTAAAAAGAGTTCACTAGTTATTTTATTATATAGTGTAAGAGCTTACTAGTTTTTGTGATATAATTTATTGCCAGCTTTACTTTGGGTTTTGAACTCTTAAATTTAAATGTAGATCATATGGTATAATTATAATGATGACTTGTTATTCTATACATCATAACTTTCTTATATAAAATGTACTGAAATGTTGATTAACTCAATTGTAAATAAACAACTAATTATGAATAAAGTTTTTACATTTTAAATAAATTATTTTCTGAATAATTGTATAACTGTAATTTGATATGATTCCCAAATGGTCACAGAAAATAAATTTGAATTTTGATGATGAATTTCATCATCAAAATATTCCTGTTGTATTCAACTCACTGAATGAATTTATGAATGTCAATAAAGTTTTCATGAAATAACAAAATAAACGTATTTTTGTTTTTAGTAATTATCCGTAAATGTTTAAACTGTAGAAAGTGATTTGCAATTTCTATGGTTTTATCAATAAATATTATAAAACATATTATATTATATAAAATATTATAGAACAAATCCCAAAATAACAGAAACGCGTCAGTACCAGCTTGGTAGCTTCACTAAGGTGGTAGTGCCAGGTAGAAGGGTGTTTGAGTCACTAAGCTCTCAGTGAATGGTAGTTATACACGAGCAAGAATTTCTGTCTTAAACACGTGCATCTTTGTGTTCAGTTACAAGGAGCAGAACATCACCCCTCACGAGTCTCAGGCTCCCGGCCCACACAGGTTAACACATTGTATTATGTACGTTGTGGCGAACGAAGATATGGACGGCCTGGTTTATGTGAACGATATTATAGGATATGAACAAAGAGAACGGGTTTGGTGACGTTTTCTTTGGTGACGGGTTGGTTTACCAACCCGTCACCAAAGAAAGCCTCACCGGGATAACATTACATTTGTCAAGTACTGACATATTGCCGTTCGTGGCAGGTTACTTTGTACTTATTGAGTCCAACTTTTGTTATGTTGGAAACAATGAGTCAAAACGTACCCAGAACACCTGACATGAAAATATACTGCAGCGATGTGCGTTGTGGCCAAAACGGCAGCATTTCCCTTACCATGGTGGACGCGGTGGTGAGAAGGCGTGTTGATGAACCACTCAAGTGGACCGCACTTGCCGATCATCTCCGTGTGGATGATGAACTGGACCAGCAGGTTGAGGTGGAAGTGGACGCAGATGGCGGGTAGGGGGACGCCCAGCAGCGCCATGGGCTGGTAGTACCCGATGGCACACAGTCGCTGGAACATGGACTGTCTGAGGGCGACGGAGACGTTGTAGTCCTCGTGGGAGTGGTGGACCTGGTGCCACGCCCAGATCACGCTCACCTCTGTAGGGACACCAAGGGAGAGGTGGGTAGTGCCCAGCTGTGGTGGTGATGAGGGGGGGGGGCAGGTCCTCTAAGGGAGTGATGATGGGGTACTCTGCGTGGGCATTGTAGTAACTAACCATACAGATGACACAATGGGTTTCGAGTGCTAATACTCGACCCTGCAAGCACACTTATGTGAGTGTATACACACACACACACACACACACACACACACACACACACACACACACACACACACACACACACACACACACACACACACACACACACACACACACGGACACACGCACACACACGCACACACACACACAGCTGCATATATGTCCCACATATATATCCCACAGTACATATCCCACAGGGCTCTGTACTCGGCCCTATCTTGTTTCTGAAATATGTAAATGATCTTCTGGAGGGTATAGATTCATTTCTCTCAATGTTTGCGGATGATGCCAAAATTATGAGAAGGATTAATACAGAGGAGGACTGCTTGAGGCTTCAAGAAGACCTAGACAAGCTGGAGGAATGGTCGAACAAATGGTTGTTAGAGTTTAACCCAAGCAAATGTAATGTAATGAAGATAGGTGTAGGGAGCAGGAGGCCAGATACAAGGTATCATCTGGGAGATGAAATACTTCAAGAGTCAGAGAAAGAAAAAGACTTGGGGGTTGATATCACGCCAGACCTGTCTCCTGCAGCCCATGTCAAGAGGATAACATCAGCGGCATATGCCAGGCTGGCCAACATAAGAACGGCATTCAGAAACTTGTGTAAGGAATCATTCAGAACTTTGTATACCACATATGTCAGGCCAATCCTGGAGTATGCAGCCCCAGCATGGAGTCCATATCTAGTCAAGGATAAGACTAAACTGGAAAAGGTTCAAAAGTTTGCCACCAGACTAGTCCCCGAGCTGAGAGGTATGAGCTACGAGGAGAGACTACGGGAATTAAACCTCACTTCGCTGGAAGACAGAAGAGTTAGGGGGGACATGATCACCACATTCAAGATTCTGAAGGGAATTGATAGGGTAGATAAAGACAGTCTATTTAACACAAGGGGCACACGCACTAGGCACTAGGCACGCACTAGGCACTCAGTTTCCACTCAGGTGGAAACTGAGTGCCCAGGTGAGACACAGAGATATTAGAAAGAACTTTTTTAGTGTCAGAGTGGTTGACAAATGGAATGCATTAGGAAGTGATGTGGTGGAGGCCGACTCCATATACAATTTCAAGTGTAGATATGATAGAGCCCAATAGGCTCAGGAACCTGTACACCTGTTGATTGACGGTTGAAAGACGGGACCAAAGAGCCAGAGCTCAACCCCCGCAAGCACAATTAAGTGAGTACAATTAGGTGAGTACACACACACACACACACACACAGTTACTGGAAGGAGGTAAATGTCGTACCGATTTTCAAAAAAGGTGATAGGGAGGAGGCACTTAACTACAGACCCGTATCACTGACAAGCATCCCCTGCAAAATACTTGAAAGAATAATTAGGCTAAGACTTGTTGAGCACCTGGAGAGCATTGGGTTTGTAAACAAGCACCAACATGGGTTCTGGACAGGGAAATCATGCCTAACAAACCTTTTAGAATTCTATGATAAAGTAACAAGGATAAGGCAGGACAGAGAAGGCTGGGCAGACTGCATATTTCTTGACTGTCAAAAGGCCTTTGATACAGTACCGCACATGAGACTGCTATACAAACTTGAGAGGCAGGCAGGAGTAAGCGGAAAGGCCCTAGTATGGGTGAAGAACTACCTAACAGGAAGGAGCCAGAGGGTAATGGTAAGGGGCGAGAAGTCGGACTGGCGAACAGTAACAAGTGGAGTACCTCAAGGATCGGTGCTGGGACCAATCCTCTTTCTAATTTACGTAAATGATATGTTTACAGGAGTGGAATCATACATGTCGATGTTCGTGGATGACGCAAAATTAATGAGAAGAGTTGTGACAGACGAGGATTGTAGGATCCTCCAAGAGGACTTAAACAGGCTGCAGAGATGGTCTGGGAAATGGCTACTGGAGTTTAACACCAGTAAATGTAAAGTTATGGAAATGGGATCAGGTGACAGGAGACCAAAGGGACAGTACACAATGAAGGGGAACAGCCTACCTTTAACGATTCGAGAAAGAGACCTGGGAGTGGATGTGACACCTAATCTAACTCCTGAGGCACATATAAATAGGATAACGACAGCAGCGTACTCTACACTGGCGAAAATTAGAACTTCATTCAGAAACCTAAATGAGGAGGCTTTTAGGGCGCTTTACACTGCCTACGTGAGACCCGTCTTAGAGTATGCCGCGCCATCATGGAGCCCCCACCTGAAGAAACACATAAAGAAACTGGAGAAGGTTCAGAGGTTTGCGACGAGGCTTGTCCCAGAGTTACGAGGGATGGGATATGAAGAGCGGCTGAAGAAACTGAACCTTACGACACTAGAGAAAAGAAGGGAGAGAGGAGATATGATAGGGACATACAAAATACTCAGGGGAATTGACAAAGTGGAAATAGATGAAATGTTCACACGTAATAATAACAGAACGAGGGGACATGGGTGGAAACTGGAAACTCAGATGAGTCACAGAGATGTTAGGAAGTTTTCTTTTAGCGTGAGAGTAGTGGAAAAATGGAATGCACTTGGGGAACAGGTTGTGGAAGCAAATACTATTCATACTTTTAAAACTAGGTATGATAGGGAAATGGGACAGGAGTCAATGCTGTAAACAACCGATAGCTGGAAAGGCGGGATCCAAGAGTCAATGCTCGATCCTGCAAGCACAAATAGGTGAGTACAAATAGGTGAGTACACACACACACACATACACGAAAAAAAAGCGCGTACACAGGCGCGCACACATACGAAAATGTGATGAAAAATACCACACCAGCAACTTACCGTGAGAGGCGCGGTGAAACCAGTAGTAGACGAAGTCTGCGGCCAGGAAGCCTGCCCACCAGGCGGCCGCCGAGTTCCAGGGGATGTCGATAAAGCGGTACTGGTACAGCCACAGGTACCCGCTCATCTCGAACCACCGGGTGAACAACCTAGAGCACGACCACGTATGGTAATCAGCGGGAGCGAGCACTCGGGGGTTAGGGAGAACATGTCTAAACTACTCCTTCAGGGGTTAGGGGGAAACATGTCTAAACTACTCCTTCAGGGGTTAGGGGGAAACATGTCTAAACTACTCCTTCAGGGGTTAGGGGGAAACATGTCTAAACTACTCCTTCAGGGGTTAGGGGGAAACATGTCTAAACTACTCCTTCAGGGGTTAGGGGGAAACATGTCTAAACTACTCCTTCAGGGGTTAGGGGGAAACATGTCTAAACTACTCCTTCAGGGGTTAGGGGGAAACATGTCTAAACTACTCCTTCAGGGGTTAGGGGGAAACATGTCTAAACTACTCCTTCAGGGGTTAGGGGGAAACATATCTAAACTACTCCTTCAGGGGTTAGGGGAAACATGTCTAAACTACTCCTTCAGGGGTTAGGGGGAAACATGTCTAAACTACTCCTTCAGGGGTTAGGGGGAAACATGTCTAAACTACTCCTTCAGGAGCTAGGGAGGACATATCTAAACTACTCCTTCAGGGGTTAGGGAGAACATGTCTAAACTACTCCTTCAGGAGCTAGGGAGGACATATCTAAACTACTCCTTCAGGGGTTAGGGGGAAACATGTCTAAACTACTCCTTCAGGAGCTAGGGAGGACATATCTAAACTACTCCTTCAGGGGTTAGGGAGAACATGTCTAAACTACTCCTTCAGGAGCTAGGGAGGACATATCTAAACTACTCCTTCAGGGGTTAGGGGGAAACATGTCTAAACTACTCATTCAGGGGTTAGGGAGAACATGTCTAAACTACTCATTCAGGAGCTAGGGAGGACATATCTAAACTACTCATTCTATCTATAGTATAGATTGGGAGACTTTGATAGGAGTGCAATAAGAACAGGCTGGGTGGAGAGAGGAACATATAAGAACATGTATAGGGTGAGTAGCTGAAAGAACATTAAATAACATATGTGGGGTGACAATGGAGGGAAGAACATGAAAGAAGAATATATTTAACTAGCGGGAATAATGCACATCCAACAGGAAGTTTAATGTGATTCTACAGGAAGTTTAATGTGATTCTACAGGAAGTTTAATGTGATTCTACAGGAAGTTTAATGTGATTCTACAGGACAAACAAAAAGCAAACTCCATGACTGATTGTCAGTCGTGGAGCTTAATTAATAAGCACCAGGACCGACCAGTCCTTATAGACGATCAATGGTGCGGTGGTCACGATGCTGTGTACATTTTGGGGGTGATCTGGACGCCATGGGTTCGAGTCCCGGTGGGTCATTTAGAGTTCTTAGTGAGCTATGACTTGCGTGTTCTTGCAGAATAAAGTTTCTTTATTCTGTTTCTTTATTTATAAAGTTTCTGAAAATGTTGGAACAGGTCTGAACCTGTAACAATGAATGCAAGCTGGATTTTTTTCTTGATTTTGGAAGGAAATGGGTAAGAACGGGTCTGGGAATAGGCATTGTATGGGCTTGCAATTTGCATTATTGTGACAAAAAGTTTAACTGGTTACAAGAATATATTGGATAGGTATATGGGTAAGAAGGGTGACTTATATGGACCAAAAGGCCTCATATGGTGCTCCCTAATTCTTATCTTGTTATTGATCTGAGAGAATTGTTAAGGATTTGTATTTTGCACTACTATACGTACCTTAATTTTCTGCCTAACTGTTTTTGCTAGTTTGACAAATTGTTGATGCAGACAGATTTCCCAATTCTTAATTCGTTTGTATATAGCCTTCCTCTTTTTCGATAAATTTTTTTAGTCCCATTGTTAATTTTGTGTCGTTATTATTGTTAAACATAATTAATTAATTTGATATACTACATTCATAGGCTTCAAGTAGAAAGATTTTAGTGTATTTTAATTTGCATCAACATTATAATTGTCAATTCACCCGCCTCTGGAGTCGTGCCACATCCAGTTACCAAGTAACTTCTTTATATCACAAAATCAGCTCTACGGAAGTCTGGCATCCTAACAGTTTTCCTTCCACACAATCCCATGCTATGTTATATCTGGCCTCCTGTAACCACTGTTCTCTAACTAGCTCCCTATTCCAGTGTTCTTTAGTGTTCCTTTGTTGCTAGCCACTATGCCTAAAATATGATTTCCTCATGCTGGCGCTATAGTATGTTATGAAAGCACATTATTAATTTAGAGAAAAATGTATTCTACGTCAGTATTCCCTGTTTTATTATTCCAATTTATTCTATCAATATTAAAGTCAACGAAAATGTAACTTTTGTTACATTTTCATTTTCACATTAGACATGAAAGATAATCATTCCTTTCATTGTGTTAGTTTGGTGACCATCATATATTCAAATTTTTAGGCTAGCATTAGCTAGGCTAGCTAGGCTAGTTTGTGTGTATTACACAGTTCTGATTCCCTGTTTGACATCCTAGTTATATTTTCTCTGTGTATATTGCTACTCATCCTCCTCGCTAAATTAGTCTATCAGAGGGAAATATTTTGTATTCTGCTGGAGAAAGACGTAAAGCCTCATGCGGGAGCAGCACCAGGGTACATCATGGGCCAGTGACGCATACCAGGAAAAATGCACTAACCGGCTTTTGTGTGGAACAAGTTCTAGTTATATCCAGATAAACCTAACACTGTATTTTCCACCGTGGATCAGCTCTTGTCCTTGACTGCATGACTTGTTTTTCTGCACCCAATTTACGTCAATATCTGCCTGCTCCTCCTACCCTCTTGCTCCACCCTGAGTTAGAGGGAGGAGTAAGTACTGGCTGAAGGAACACACAAAACATGCAATGGAGTGCACAGAGCTTTGTAAGAATGTAAATAAGGGACTATAAGAATACAGAAGAATGCCGGATGCATAATAGTCCATGCGAGACAGTTTTAATTTTCAAAATAATAATTGAAATAATAATAATTAAAAGAACAGACGTGAGTGAATATGAATGTAGTAATATGTATGAATGTGCTCAGTGAGCCGTTGTCATGTATATTTAATTAATTGTTCAATAGAATCGATCATTGAACCGCAATGTTCGGCGTTGTGAACACGGGCACGAATTTTAGGTTAAGTGGGTTAGTTTACCTGTCTCGAATTATCAACCAGTTAGCTAATTGTGTATTGTGGGAGACTTGATTTAATCGATAATCGCAACGTGCATTCGTACACACCTTGGATAAAATAGATTATAGTAAGTATTCAGAACATGACTTTACTAAGGGCGCTCATGTTTGATAAACATTGATATTCTCTTTGGCATATTTGCTGTGGTTGACACTGGAGAGGAATGTGACGATGTGTACCTCGACTTTAACAATGGTTTCGATTCTGTACCTGACGAAAACTACATCAGGAAGGCATGGGTGTTTCAGTCAGCATCACCAGGAACAACAGGGAGACTACCAGCTGGATATTTGGAATTAGGAAGGAACTACTGCCACAAGGAGATGGCTTACTGTCAGGCATTTGGAGTCATATTGAGATCAGATTCATGTTGTATGAACTGTGTTGTCTGAGTAATTTTGATCACACGTTAGCCCCAGACTCTGATGATGTAGAATGCTGAGGAGGTGCTAATTTCTATATCTTCATGGTATGATGGGTTTATATTAGTTCTCATTCAAATTGTCTCATCATCCTAATATTGTGATATTAAGTGAGTCAATATCTGTCCCGCCACTCTAATGGTAAACTACATTTTAATTTAATATATATCACTTTGCAAATTGTAGGCCGAATGTTACTGTGTGCCAAATATGTAAGATTGATTTAGATTACTGTACACCTGATTAGTCCAGCCATTATTCGTAACGAGTTACGTAGTTGTTACGGATAGAGCTTCTGATTCTAAATCTGAATGGAGTGAAATCCGAGTGGGGGAACCCTCTGTAAGTGGAGGACCCCAGATCTGTGTCTTCGGACCTGTGTTGTCTACCATAGACGTCGATGTTTTCGACTCAGGATTCAACAGCAACATTAATACATTTGCAAATGATACAAAAAGGACGATGAATAAATTTAAAAATAATAAAAATTGCTACGAAACGATTTCAGTACGCTTTTAAATTGGACGAAACATTGACAGATGCAGCTTATTGCTGACGTATGTAAGTTTAGGAGCCAAAGTGATGTTAGTAGAAACCGGATATTAGTAGCTGAACAACGTCTAAAGTTCAAAATCTAAATAAAAAAAACATCTAGGAATCATTATTAGTAGGGACATTAAACCAAAAACCAGCCACTGGTTTTTGGGTTAAAACCAGCCACATTTATGAAATAAAGCAAATAGGATACTAAGATTTGTATCTAGAAGCGTTAACAATGTGAACCTCTAATGTTATTTTTCAGTTTTAAATTGCCCTTGTTTTGATTTAAATTATACACTTTAGTTCTAGGTAGCCTACTATAGCGCGGGCATAAACTCACAGGAACGCGTACAGTGAAGAATGATAGAGTAAATCCCAGGAAGTAGAGACCTTCTTTACAAAGACAGACCAGGAGGGCTTAATAACATTCATCAGCAAGGCAGGAGAAAGAAGCGACATGACTGAAGGACTGAGCTGGATAAAGTGGTATTACAAATGCTAAATCAATAGGATTGTAAGTAACGCTAAATAGAACATGATATAATGTGTAATAGATTCTGAAGAGAAGTGGGTAAATATTGGTTTGGAAATAGGGTTGTTGAATTGTGGAACACATTGCCAATTAACATAACAGATGTGAACTCACTAGACTGTTAGAAGGCTAGGTTAGACAAATACATGAGTGGGTGGTATTCGGTGTTATAAAGGAGCTGCCTAACATTGGTGAGAAAGTATTCTGTAGTTTCCTCAGTTTTTCATGTTCTACTTCCCAAAGCGTTAATCTATTCTTCCTTTGCACTAGCTTGTAAGACAGTCTCGCGGAACGTCTACGATAGGCTGCGTAGCGGCGCATACTTAGCACATGATGTGTTGAGGGGCTCAGGGTTGTCACTTGGGT